TGACTTTAATTTTCTCTTTCTGTCTCTTGACACGTATCCCTCCTCATAGTCTTTGACTAAAAGTAGCACAATTTCCACAGGTGCTCTGTTTGTCAACAGCACTCGTGGCAGTCATTGTTAACCCGGGCCTTGACCAATCCGGTATGGTGTTTTATATGAATTTGCACTTTAGTTTTGGCAAAAGTGTTTTAAGTTGGATGCCCTTCCTGAAAAAAAACTCACCATTTACTTGGGCTTGGGACCAGCACAAAATATACATTGACTTATGCTCCCTGGTGGCTGGTTTGGAAAAAAAAAAAAAAGACCTGATACTGACCTAAATTTGATATGATAGTAGCTGCATTAAAGTCACAACACACTCTGAACGAGATATCTCACAATATTGAATGAGCCTATGCACAATAGTGTTTTCAAGTTTTGGCCAAATGAGCTACAACACAAAATCATGTCTTAAGACATGAGGAGTTTAGTTTCACCTCTGGCATGAAAGATAGGAAATTATATACATTTCTTCAATATATATGAGGATTTACACTTTATCAGCTTCTATTTACTGTTACCAGTTCACAAAATTATGTATGTTTTCAGAATATGTAACTGCATTTGACTTTATTGTTGACAATTTACAACAAATGGTAATGTAATTCCATTATAAACTAGAAGCACCCAGAGAGCACACATCTCCACCAAGACCCTACAGTCAGTAAAAAAGTGGGAATTATTTGTTCCTTGTAACAACCTCTATATTTCTTGAACATTTCATAAAAATAAGTTCAAAACTTTCTGATAAATTTTGAGTACAGATAGACAAACAAATAGACCATCAAACACTACTGAAAACATAACCTCCTTAGTGGAGGTTAATAATAAATAGAAACATTAAATCATTTGTGAAAAAAATTGAATAGTGTGTCAGTCTGGTTTTTTTTTATTTTTTTCCATTTGCCTGTCATCCATCATATTATTGTAATCACAACAAAATAAATGTCATAACTCAAATTTCCTGTAATCACAGACAATCTTCATATTTATTTTCTCTTTAGGCTTTCACAAATATGAAACTGAGCTAGACCTAGAGCAATCCTCATCATCTATGGTTATCAACTTAAAATACAATTACATTTTGAAAAACAAATGTGACGTGGTGAAAAAAGAACACAGTGCTACACTTGGGAAATCATTTAAGTTAAGATGGTCCATTCTGAAACCAGTAATTACAATATGTTTAATGTACAAATTTTGAACTTGTGAGAAGCCAAGTAGCTTTTACTTTCATGTATGAGTAAAAACACTAATTTAAACTCTTTATTAACTTTCACAAAAAGTATGTTGTTTATGCCAACTAGTCCCAGTGGTCTGATTAGTGCTGGACAAACTAAACGTGCTTTAAATGTTTCAGTATCTTAATATACAACTGCAATAATGCCAGACTTTAGGCACAGGCTGACTACAACTCTGCAGCATCATTAAAAGTTCAGAAGCTGTGACTTCATCAGCTCACAGCTCCACAGAGACAATATGAAGTTCCTCTGTAAAGAGAATGGAGTTTCTTGGCCCAACTTCTGAGACTTTATGTTAATATTTTAAGTGGTGTGTGCCCTCTGCATGCCAGATTTTAACTGCATGCTTGTACTTCTAACTTTGAGAGGTTTGGGGTTGTTTTGTTTATTAAATAAATCACTAGTTTGCCGTCTACATCGTCACAAATGACATACTGTATATATGGCTTTTGAAAACCTTTAATTTACCTTTATGTTTTGGATAGTACAGTTTGTGTGTGTTTATATTAATTTTAGTTACATTTGAAGACGTCTCCGACCCACACACACGCATGTGTGCACGCACGCACACATGTACACAGACACACTTTGCTGGATTCTGTCATTCTGTCAGAATTTATTCTTAATCTGTTTTTAAAACTGGATTTATGATATGATTTCTTCATTCTGGCCTGTTTTGCTCTGTTTTTTATTCAGACACCTTTCTCCTTGCACCCATCTGTTTCAGCAGCTGTTCTTTTCTTCATCCACTCTTTACTCTAGTAAAGCATGTATGCATTTCATCTGGCAGCAAATGAGAGCAGTAGAAAGATAGAGAAGAGAGGGAGCACAAGTGACAAACTGAGAGACATGGATGGCCTTTGGTCTTTGAATAGTAAGATGAGCAGATGTGAAGTTAAAACAGAAAAAGGAAAACACATCTTTGCAGCCAAATTAACATTTTGAGACATAAACTCACAGCTATCTACTGCCTAAGCCATTTGTCTTATACAGCAACTACTGTATAATCACTATGTGAAGTGGATAATTTAATAAAATATAAAAAATATAAATAAATACATAAATAAAAAACAGCCAAGAAAACATAAAACTCAAACACTTTTTTTTAGATTAATGGTAAACCATAAATATTGCCTTTTTTTCAGCTGAATGAATTTGTAACAAGAGTTTATTTAATGTAACTGACATTCAACATTTGCACCTGTATCCAAAAAAGTTCAATCTGGTCCTCTGGACATTCAAAAAAACAAAAAACAAAACAAAGCAAAAAAATGTAGAAACGTTTCGTCTTTCATCCGAGAGACTTCCTCAGTCTGAGGAGCTGTATTCAGCTCAGTCTCTTAAATAGCACCTTCTAAGAGTGGATCAACCAGTTTTGCTAGTGACAACCAAAACCAGCTGATCAAATGCTCAAGAAGGACCATCAGCCTAACAACGGATCATTAGCACACTGATGGCTGTGTACTATTCACAGAGGGCTGAGTGATACTAGCAATCACAGCATTGGAAGAGGGGGACAGTTGAACATGGAGGCCTCCACCCCTGTTTAATGATGGACGGTTTCTTTTCACAAAGATGGCCTCCTTTACTCCTCTCTCAAACCATTGTTCCTCTCTGTCCAGGATGTGAACATCTTCATCCCTGAAAGAGTGACCACTGGCCTGGAGATGAGTGTAGACCGCAGAGTCCTGGCCTGATGATGTTGATCTTCTGTGCTGGGCCATCCTTTTGGCCAGTGGCTGTTTTGTTTCCCCAATGTAAGACTGATCACAGCCCTCCTGACACTGAACAGCATATACAACATTACTCTGTTTGTGCCGGGGGACTGGATCTTTGGGATGAACCAGTCTTTGCCGCAATGTATTTTGGGGTTTAAAAGCCACTGGGACGTTATGTTTAGAAAATAAACGTCTCAGTTTCTCTGATACTCCCTCAACATATGGAATGACCACTGGTCTGGGTTCCTCCTTTTCACCTGTTGGCTGAATGGAGTCCTGTTTGGGTTTCTTCTCTGCTTTCAGGAAGGCCCAGTTAGGATATCCACATTGCTCTAGAGCCTGTCTTGTGTGGGATTTCTCCTTCTGCCTGGCTCCTGAGCTAGTGGGGACGCTGTCTGCTCTGTGGTACAGAGTCCTGATGACTCCTAACTTGTGCTCCAAAGGGTGATGGGAGTCAAACTGCAAATACTGGTCTGTGTGGGTGGGTTTGCGGTACACCTCAGTTTGCAAATGTCCTCTATCAGAGACTGAGACCTCACAGTCCAAGAAAGCCAACTTGCCATTTTTTACATCTTCTCGTGTGAACTTGATGTATTTATCCACAGAGTTGATGTGGTCAGTAAAATGTTGGACTTCCTGAGATTTAATTTTAACCCATGTGTCGTCAACATACCTGAACCAATGACTTGGTGGTGTCCCTGAAAAGGACGTCAAGGCTCTCTTTTCTACCTCCTCCATGTACAGCTTGGCAACAATAGGAGAAACTGGAGACACCATAGCACACCCATGTTTCTGCCTATAATATTGCTCGCCATATGTGAAGTAGGTTGACTGCAGGCACAGTTTCAAGAGTTGACCCAGTTGACCCAGACTGAGGAAGTCTCTCAGATGAGAGACGAAACGTTTCTATATTTTTTTGCTTTGTTTTGTTTTTTGTTTTTTTGAATGTCCAGAGGACCAGATTGAACTTTTTTGGATTTTTCTACCTGGATTATTGAGCATGCATCAGGATATTTGTACCTGTAGACATACAACAACTTTATGTTGAATCTTTATTTTGTATTATTTTTTTTTATTGTGCTCAGCTCAGATATTTCAGACAGTAGTCCAATCAAACAAACCTTGATATATATATATATATATCCCAGACTTCCCTCTCCCCACCCACTTGGGCCAGCTCCTCCGGGGGACTCCCAAGGCGTTCCCAGGCCATCCAAAAAACATAGTCCCTCCAGCGTGTCCTGGGTCTTCCTCTGGGTCTTGTCCCAGTGGGACGTGCCCGGAACACCTCACCAGGGAGGCGTCCAGGAGGCATCCTAACCAGATGCCCGAGCCACCTCAACTGGCTCCTCTTAATGTGGAGAAGTAGTGGCTCTACTCTGAGTCCCTCCCGGATGATCGAGCTTCTCACCCTATCTCTAAGGGAGAGCCCAGACAACCTGTGGAGAAAACTCATTTTGGCCGCCTGTATCCGTGATCTCGTTCTTTCAGTCACAACCCAAAGCTCATGACCATAGATGAGGGTAGGAACGTAGATCGACTGGTAAATTGAGAGCTTCATCTTTTGACTCAGCTCTCTCTTCACCACAACAGACCAGTACAGCGCCCACTTCACTGCTGACGCTGCACCTATCCGCCTATCGATCTCACTTGGTTCTTCAAAATATATATATTTTTTGTCCAATGTCAAAGAGCAGAATGCATTATGCATGATTATACAAAATTTTATATACAATTTTGTCTAATCATGTGTAATGCATTCTGCTCTTTGACATTGGACAAAAAAAAGAGATATATATTGAAGAACCAAGTAAAAACATTGTCTCGTTTGTCTCTATGTGGGCCAGAGATGGACTTGTGACCTGTCCAGGGTGCCCCCCTGCCACTTGCACAGTGATGGCTGGACATGGGCACTAGTGACCCCCACGACCCGGGAAGGAAGAAATGAGTAAAATATAATGGATGGATGGAAGATAAACAGTAATGTGTTGGGCTTCATTACCAGAGTTGGGTTGCCCATGCTTGCCAGGCCGTGCTGACTCCCAGCCATCCACAGACTGAACTTCCAACAAGTATGAGCTTTTGGTCTCTCTGTCAAACACAGCCTGAGTGTAGATGAATCCCAGCTCTGGGTCGATATGGAAATACTGATGGTCTCCACTGCGGTCTTCTAGCAAGGAGTAAGAAATCTGACACAAGAAGATATACGTAGTTCAATTCATAACAAAGGTCATATATTAAAATACACCTAGCTAACATGACATATATATATATATATATATATATATATATATATATATATATATATACTGTATATATATAAAGTAAGATTTAGCGCAGATATTTAGATAGAACTAGGGTTTTTAATTGCTATTGTTTGACAGCTAGAGTATGCATCCTTATTATTTTTTTTTATCAATATTCAAATATTGTCTATGTTATAATAATTTGTGTTCACCTCTCCATTAGGACCTAAGTCGAGGTCATTGGCAGAAACCTGGAAAACCAGAGTTCCTGATTCTGCTCCTTCAGTCACTGACGCCTCATAGATGGAAGAGGTGAAAAATGGGACATTGTCATTAACATCTGAAAACAGAAAAAGAAAAAAAAAAAAACAGAATTAGAGTGGAATTAGAGCATGCTAAAATTGTTTCCAGGTAACATCAGGAGGACTGCAATTTTAATTCTATCTCAGGTGTATTGGATTACATTAATATATGCCTGACAATATAAGGAAATGTGGACCAAGGTAAAATACAACAACAACAAATCAACTCGTTAGAAATGAAGGTGTGTGAGAATATTAATAGTAATAAATTAAACATTCATATAACGGCATTAGACATTTCAATATTGATAATATTGCCGTTTGTGTCTATAACTGTATTGCACTAGAATGTTTTTATTTATTAACCTTTATTTAACCAGGCAAATCCCACTAAGATCACAGATCTCTTTTGCAAAGGAGGCTTGGGCCATGTTAAAAAATGTATGGAGCAATAAGCGGATTAATAAAAATAGAAAAAAAAGGTGGTCTGCACCATGGTATAATTGGTAGCACTGCACTAGCAGAAAAGGAAGATTTCGAATTACAAATTCATCTGGGACCTTTTTGCATTGAGTTTGACTGTGTTTCTAGTTAGTGGGTTGGTTTCCTCCAGGTACACCGGTTTACTCCACACAGTCCAAAAACTGGCTCGGGTGGGGAAGGAGGATTTTTATTTTTTTGGTATTTAAGCAACCTGTCCAGGGTGCACCAGCTCCCTAAGACCTTCTTCAGGATCAAGTACATATTAAAGATTGAATGAATGGATGGTTGGATGAAAAAGGGGAGATATGCGAGTGTAAAAATACTATGAATTATATTCAATATAGCAAATACATGTTCATATGTAAAATGCTTTGTTTTACTCAAGCTGTACGTCCAAGTTGAGTCAGGTCCTCTGGACATATTATTTTTTGTTGAAATGTTTCGTCTTTTATCCAAAAGACTTCTTCAGTCTGATGAGCTGAAACAAACTCAGTCTTATAAATAACACCTTCTCATAGTGGATCAACCAGTTTGTTGGGGACAGCTAAAACTAGCTGTTAACATGAAAGGAGGGTCATCAGCCTAACAAATGATTGTTAGCACCCTGATGGCTGCTTGCTATTCACAGAGGGCTGAGTGATACTACCAATATCAGCATTGTAAGAGGTGGACAGTTTAACACAGATGACTCCACCCCTGTTTAATGATGGATGGTTTCTTTTCACAAAGATGGCCTCCTTTACTCCTCTCTCAAAACATTGTTCCTCTCTTCCAAGGATGCAAACATCTTCATCCCTGAATGAGTGTAGACCGCAGAGTCCTGGCCTGATGATGATGTTCTTCTGCGCTGGTCCATCCTTTTGGCCAGTGGGTGTTTAGTTTCCCTGATGTAAGACTGATCACAGCCCTCCAGACACTGAACATCTGTTTGTGCTGGGGACTGGATCTTTGGGATGAACCAGTCTTTACTGTAATGTATTTTGGGGTTTGAAAGCCACTGGGACATTATGTTTAGAAAATAAGTTTCTCTGTTTCTCTGAAACTCCCTCAACATACGGAATGACCACTGGTCTGGGTCTGGGTTCCTCTTTTTCACCTGATGGCTGACTGGAGTCCTGTTTGGGTTTATTCTCTGCTTTCAGGAAGGCCCAGCTAGGATATCCACATTGCTCCAGGGCCAAGTAATAATAAACACAAAATGTGTTTCTATAAATCTGTTGCCTTTCACTGAACAAGTGAAAGAAGACATTGTTAAATGCTGCACACAGTCAAAGCAGATAGTCATAAAGACAGATGGGACACAACATAAAATAACATTTTCTGAACAGTAAAAGTCAGATTTTAACAAAGCTGATTTAAGTCCAAAAGTATTACAGAAAATGCTTTAAAATGCCATAGATTAACTTTAATGCCGCTCCATGTACAGTTTTCATCCTTTCCTGTCTTCTGAGCAAAATTGGTCTTAAATCCATTACAGACCTCCTTCTTTTCCCTTAACGTAACTACCTCTGGTGAAGTCAAGGAGCCTCTTATTAAGACACTTACAGGAACACAGAGCCGGCAGAGTCTCTGTGAGAAATAATTTCTCAATGGATTTACTACAAACTATAAGTGGGTATTTATGGGCTGTCAGTGTATGTGCATATGTTCATGATGAAAGACAACTACTACCAAACAAATGAGGGGCATTTAAAGATGAAGCCAGGTCAGAGCTAAGAAGCACCGACTTACTAAGCTGTCATAACATTACCCTGATTACTGCTGGTGAACAACGTGAAGTCATGTTTGGAGAGCACAGAGAAATGACCTGACTGATTCTAGTTTTCATTATTTGTACATCAAAGATGTCAAAACAACTAATCATGACAATTTTATTTATACAAATTAAAAAAAATAATTAATAAAAAATAAAAATGTTTGAAAACAAACTGACTGAACAGTAAACACACAAACATGAAAAGCTGAGTGCATTCTGTGAAAATGATAGTTTACGATGACATACAGGTAAACCTATGCTTCTCTTTGAAACTGATTTTAATTCTTAACTAAAGTTACAAGGAGAACAATATTATTTTACTATATTCACGGAAATATTATGTCCATATATTTTGTTCAAACAGTTTCTTGTGTGGAAAAACATATATATTCTTCTTCTTTTATTTTCTATTTTTTTTGTTACAAGGCATTTTAAGTATTTGTTTTTTCTTGTTCTCCTTCCACGCTGTTTTTTTTTTATTTTTTTTTATTTTTGTATCTGACAGTTTGATGGGGTCCATCTCTTCTCTGTGACATGCGTTTTCACACCAATGTCCTCATGTCGACTTCCAGCACTCTGTAACCTGATGCAAGATCTACTGTGCAGCAGATTGTTCAGCCCTGACTGTTCTCTGTACTAAGCATTTATACTGTTACTATGGAAAAATACTTCAATTTATAATATTTTAAATATTCTAAATATTTTTAAAGGCCTGGAGTTTGTCATTCTGTTAAATGGTAAACTTGTCTCGCTTTATGTTGTTTGCTTGTTTGTCATAGTTATTATATGCAAATGTGTCCAATTATTTTTGACTGTGGATGTTTTCAACCAAACAGCCACAAACCAAATTTGGTGAATGGGTTAAGGGTAACAAAGACAAAACTGACCAGTTTGCCAAATAGTAAGCCAAATCTGCCAGCATATAATATTATAATGTATCACTAAGTACAGTATCTACAACTAAAATTACATGCTAACAAATTAGGTTTACAAATACTTATTGTGCTTACAAGGTAGTAACTTAGTCTGAAATGTTTAATGTAACAACCCGATTAAATATATAGGTGAACAGATTTGGCTTACTAATTGGCAAGACACTGGTCAGTTTGGTCTTTATCACCCTTAATTAATGCATTAAAAGCAGTTATTAATGATTTATAAAGTACAAACCGGATTCCAAAAAAGTTGGGACACTAAACAAATTGTGAATAAAAACTGAATGCAATGATGTGGAGATGGCAAATGTCAATATTTTATTCGTTTGAAGTTCTTTATGGAACACTGGGACACCATGTCATCCAGACCAGAGAGGACAAGGATAGCACAAGTTGTTATCAACACTCCGTTCAGAAGCCTGCATCACTGATGGTATGGGGTTGCATGAGCGCTTGTGGCATGGGCAGCTTGCATGTCTGGAAAGGCACCATTAATGCAGAGAACTATGTTCAGGTTCTAGAACAACATATGCTCCCATCTAGACGTCATCTCTTTCAGGGAAGACCCTGCATTTTTCAACACGATAATGCCAGACCACATTCTGCAGCAGTCACAACATCATGGCTACGTAGGAGAAGGACCCGGGTACTGAAATGGTCAGCCTGCAGTCCAGATCTTTCACCTATAGAGAACATTTGGCGCATCATAAAGAGGAAGGTGCAACAAAGAAGGCCCAAGACGATTGAACAGTTAAGCCCCTTATCCACGGGTCTTTTTGGTACTCCTATGTAACTAGTTGTGGCCGATTGCAGGATTTATCAACAATGCCTTTAACGGTGGAACCCACCCCATTTTTGGGACCTAAATCACTGAGGTCCCAGGTCTGGTTCTTTTAGGGTCTAGTTGTGACATCAGCGCACTGTAGGTCACTGATTGGTCAGGGGGCGTATTCATTGGTGGAGGGCGGAGATTCAGTCTTCCACCGGAAATCACAATCCACCATTTTCTTTTTCACCCGCATAACAGACAACAAGAAATCGGAGGAGCTTATTTTGGAATATTTTATAAGGTAAAACAAATAATCATGGCACAACCGTGGTCGAATGCTGAAGTTCAGGCATTTCTCTGTTTGCTGGCCGATGAACAAGTGCAGCGCGAGCTAGATGGAACGAAACGAAATAAAAAGATTTTTCAAGAGGTGTCTGCGCAGATGGCGGTGCAGGGCTTCCATCGCACACCAAAGCAAAGAGGAAAGCTTAAAAAACTAATAGTTGATGGTGAGTGTATTTTATTTACTTTAAGCATATTTCCTTTTCCTCATGCAACCGTTTCTTTGCGTTTTCTGAAAGTACTCTGAACAAACAAGGCTGACTCGGTTACGTCGTCATTAGTTAGCATCATTGCTAACTGTACTCTGTTGCTGTTTTTCCACTCTTATTTTGATGCAGAAAGTCCCACTGAACATGAAGGTTCGCCAGATTCTGCTTTTGACTGTCCAATCCTCCCCGCTTCTGACCCTTCCCGACCACACCAGCTCCAAGTACATCTACACCACAGAGTACATCCACGCCACCGGGCACATGCACGCCACCGGGCAACACGCAGCAGAGCGGCACCAAACAGCACCCGTTACTAGGTAAGAAGCAACAATCGTGTTTAACATCACATTGATCATGTTGATATGAATGTTTTGTTTTTGTTGTAAAACACCTTGCATGTATTCAAACTACTTGTTTATTCAGTTGTAATGGATAAATGTTAAATTTAGTTATTCATTTATTACTTAAACTTTCATTTATGAAGTTTATTATTGAAATTATACAGGGTGTAGTGATTTTTGTTCAGATTAACGATGCTCTGTTCTTTTTCTAAATTA